TTATTTGATTGGGCAATAATACGGATCGGTCGTAAAGTTCGAGAGAATCATCTGAAGTGTATGCATTTTATACAATAATATTCTATTTTTTTTTTATTTTTTTTTTTATATATTTTACTTATTTTTTTTTCGTATTATATACTATGAAAGGAGAGATACTAATGCGCAGCATGCAACGCGCATTCGTTCTCGAATAATGTTGCCGCATGTGAAATTTTATTCATATCTTCCGATCAAATTGCCCGAATCGAATGATTCTAGTGTCAAATAACTCGCATTTAAAAATAGAGTATTTTAGGTATTGCTAAAATTTTTGTCTGATGAAGTTGCCAGAGTTATTTCGGAAAATGAACTTTTTCCTATCTTACTTTATATCTCCAGATCAATTTACGTGAATTAAATGATATTGATATTAAATAGTTCGCGTTCAAGAATAGAAACTTTTAGGATTCCTAAAAATTTTTGTCCAATAATCATTTTCGGAGTTATCTCGAAAAATTGAGCTTTTCTAACCGAGTATTCGGACTTAGTTTTCTTTCTATTACTATTTTTGCTTAGTTTGTAATTAATTAGTTTTTGTTTCTTTTATTTTTTTTTTCTCACAGTTCTGGGTGGTGTTATGTCCAAGGGCGTTTTTAGAGCGGTAGCGTAAACGGTGGAGGTTTGGAAAAACAGTTTAAAGAATACGCAACGGAGGTTTTAATTCCGTTGTTTAATTATTTTTGTGGGACGTTTTCGATGTACGAACTTACCACGCCTTCGTTTGAGACTGGCACGGATTTTAATAAAGAGTAGATGTACTTACTACTTGTTGAACTATTTCTTAGGATCGGATCCGTGATACCGGGGCTGATCGTAGTGCCTTTTCCTTGATTGGACCCTCTGTTGGTATTTGCAGCGGATAGATGTGGATGGATTTGGGCTGTTTATCTTAAGGGCTTCTTATATGAATGAAATGAATTTATTTAAAACAGATTTCACTTTTCAAGATTTATTTAATAAACACCAAAACTTCTACACTTTCACAAATTTTATTAGATCGAAATTATTATAATGAATTTTAATTATTTGAGCTAACGTCCTCCAGTCCCCTGTAGGGTGAAGTGCGCAAATTTAGCTTTAAAAGATATTATATTAAAAGATATTATACTTATTGACCGAACTCTCGCCTAAGTGCAGGGCAAATTATAACTTTGAGAATCCGGTTCTCTAGATTTTCTTACTGGTCAAAATCCCGCCTAAGTGCAAGGCAAATTAAGACTTTGGGATTTGACTTTCTAGGTTTTATCTACTTATCGAGTTCTCGCCTAAGTGCAGGGCAAATTAGAGCTTTGAGAATCCCGACTCGTAGATATTAAAACTAATACGTGGCTTGCCGGTTAAAACCGCATCTGAACTCGAATTAAGTTCAGAGCAAATTAAGACAAGGGACTTTACAAGGCACCGGCCTGTCAAGCTAAACGCGGAAGTCGAATTAACTAACAATAGACCTGGATTTGGCTGTTGATCGCCTTTTTAAAAACTCGCGGTGCTGAGATTGCAGAAGTCCCCGCTAGTCAACCAGCAGTCACGTAGCTCATATTTTATTGTGGCATTCGCGTATGGAGAAGTCTTCCATCTGCGCGGGTGATTTAAATTTAAAGAAAAAAATGAGGGTGGACATAACATTCCCCCGGAAAAGCGAGAAGCTAGTATAGTTTTTCGGTTTTCTTATGGCCACCTTCCCCATAAGCGAGAGCCACTTACAATCTTTATATAAAATTATTCTTAACATAATAAAAGAGTAATAAGGAAAGTCATCTGGCGCGAATTTTTTCATTTTATTTATATTTTTATTTTGCACTCTATTTATGCTGACGGATGTTTTATCGTCTTTACTGCTACTGGGGTTTGCGAAGCCGTGTTCAGTGTCAGTATTGTCTGAGCAGTGATTGAGTTTGCTTGGCAAAAAAATTAAAAAAAATGTACCCAGTCTATAAGAACTTCGAAGGATATGGTACTTGGTACCAGATGGTCGTGAGGATTTACGGGGAAAAGGTAGGTTGGAATTTGATATATATATTTTAGAGAAGAACATTTAGGGGGAAAAGGAAGAAAGAAAAAGTAAAGATAAAGAAAGGAAAATTAATATGTATTTAAATTTATTTTCTCTTTTTTTTTTTTTTTTGTGGTGAGTAGCTATATGTATTTAAATTTATTTTTCTTTTTTTTTTTTTTATTTTTTTTTTCTAGGACATAAGGAGGGGCATCCAAATTTTGAAGGGTTTGGCCCGTCCGGTGAATCCGGCTGAAGGGCTTCGTTTGGTAGCTCAAATGATGGACTTGTTCGGTTTTCTTCCACCTGAGGCAGTGGAAGCTGCTACGTTTTTTTTGTCTCCAGGGGATTGAGTTTGTATCAGACCCATGGGGGTTTGAGGAAGTGATCAGTCAGCGGTGATTTGGAATGTTTGGGGGTCGCCTTGATGGAGGCGGTATTCAATGGCGTCATCACCATGCCTTAATGGTAAGTGAGACATTCCGATTTATATTTATATTATTTTCTTTAACAAAAATTATTTATATGCAGAAAAAAATGTTCTCTTTCCCGTTTTTTTTTTTTTTTTTTAAGGTTTGGTGTTTCGGATGTTGCTGACTGGCATTAAAAGGATAATAAACTGTTGGTTCAGCAAAATTATATATACATGTGTGTATAAATATTGACTGTATATAAGAAAGAAAATAATAAAAAAAAAAGAGAAAAAATTTGAGAGGTTTTTTTTTTTTTTGAAAAATTTTCTTTACTTTCCTTTTCCTATTCCCTCTATGGTCTAAGTAATTAAGTAAAATAGGCTGGTTTAGTAAGTTGGGTATTGATTAATTTAGATTAGGAAAAAGAAAAATAAGGAAAGGAATTTATTTATTTTAATAGGTTAGAGAAGGAAGAACGGAAGGAAGAAGTGAGTTTATAATATGGGTAAATCTATCTATAATTTATACGTGTATCCATGGGTATTTGTATATCATGTTGTACAAGTGTCGGTAAGTTATCCCGTTTGACTTAGCAGTTTCATTATAATTATCGCTAGATGACTCTCCTTGTCCTCTTTCTTACTTTTATCCGTATTTATTAATTGTTGATATTTATAATAATTTGTTTTAATCATAAAAGATTTTATAGTTCAGGAAAAATTTTATCTGGTGAAGTTACCTCAGCGTATAAATTATTGATTATTATTTATTGTTATTATTATTTATTAATTGAAATATAATGATAAAATATAGAAATAATGTAATAACGTAATATATAACTTGATATGGTGACTGTACAATGAAGAGGAAAGTTTTTAGAAGGAAAATTTTCTATTTTAAAAGGAAAAAATTTTATTGGGGTTTTGCGCTGTTTCCATTCGTCCCCCCAAGGCCGAGGCTAATTTTATCTTCGGTCTTGTGAGTTAAAGCAGCAAAACTCTTTCTGAATTTATATAAATTTACTCGTTTTCACTGTACTATCTATTATATTTAAAATTTATATTCAAGGGAAAATTTTTCTTTAAATTTCATGGATTAAAGTGGTTATATAAACTGTTGGCTCGTTTTTGGCAATTTTTGTCAAAACGAATTTTCTTGATATTTTTCACTTAGAGGAAAAAAATTTATTATTATTTAAGTTATTTGATATTTCTCCGCGAAGGAGCCATCAGTTTTTATATAAAAAATTTTTATAAATCTTAGCTTTTACGATGTTGCAACGAAGTTGACTTCTTACAATGGTGATTTATAGTCTCTCAATCGAAATGTTTTTGCCTTTTTCGGTGTTTCGACGATTTTTGGAGGATCTTCTTTAGCTGCTTGCTTGTTGGTAGAGTTCCTTCATCGTTGTTGTTGGGTTCATCTGAGGTCGATTCGCTTTCTTCTGACGGAGTTGATTTCTTTCCTTCGATTGTTTCTAGCTGGATTACGACTGCTTTTTCGTCTCCATTATCTCGGTTGTTGTATTGGCGACGTCTGGATAGAAATCGGCTGATAGTTTTCTGTGTAGCTATCGCTCCTATTATAACTGATATTATTCCGATCGCTGATACTGACCCAATGGTTATTTTTCGGTTGGATTCTTCTTTTTGGTAGTCTAGGGCTATTAATGACATTTTTTCTTCGTTTTCTTTAAGTCCTTGACCCCAACGTTCAAATTCGTCGATGATTTTGGCTGGATTCTGGATTTCTGTGAGTGAGTTCATGACTGCGTTGTCAATTTTTAAGCTCGAGTTTAATGTTTCTAGTGATAGGTTAAAACTCGGGGTGATGAGGTCTATTTTTGTTGACTCTCTCGCTATTCCTCTGATTATAAATCCGTTGCAGCTTACTTGGCATCCTTGTTGAACGTGTAATAACTCAGTTCCGTTGATTAGGTTCCTCTCTGTTGTTTGTCTTGGACATGTCCATTGGATGTCTTCTTCTTTACACGTTGAATATGCCCATGTATTTTTCACATTCATTTTTATCCAAGTCAGTTTACATTTTTCGATTATTCTTATGTTGCATTCTCTTAAGATCTCAGTTTGCGGGTCCATCAGCAATTTCATTTCACAATCTACTTCGTTTTTCGCTTCGGTTGTTTTAGACGGGACATCAGGCGGGCATGCCATGTCTGGTCCTATCGGCTTGCAGTTGTTTATGTATTCTTGTTCGGCGAAGTAATATTCCTTAAACGACGGCTCTGATACAAGATATTTTGACGCTGGTTGGATTGTTAATGTTGATATTTTATCTCAGATTTTTTCAGGTTTTGGGAGTGATTTAAGCTCATATGCTAGCCACGGTGTTTGATCGAAGAGTGGTACTGTTATTATTATTAGGAAATATCCATTTGCTTTTCCTGTTTCTATTGTGGATACTTTAGCAAGTGTGTTAATATCCATATGATCCAGTGGTTGAGGTGGGTTAAGCGTCGGGTGTTTTTTCATCATGTCAGCATTTGCTTGGTGTAGTTGTTTGGCTGACACGGTTAAATAAGTAAGCTTGCCTCATTTTGCATCCTCTATTGCTTCTTCAGCGTTGTTGAGCGTTCTTAAGTAATTGGTCATCAAATAAATGTGTTCGTCTTCTGCCATTGAGAATAGTTGGGCTCTTTCGAGATCGGATAGTTGTTTGCTTACCGATTGTTGGAGGTATGCTGAAGTTCGGACTAGGTCCCTGATTCTTTCTGTTAAATTTTTTTCGTTTTTCAATATTTCGTTTATTTCACTTTTGATGATGTGAGTGTTGTATGAGATAGGTGTACTAGTTCTCGGTTATCTTGATATAGTTTGTCTATTTCTGTCGTGATATGTTCTTTATCACTATAATCCATGGTCCCAAATAGTTTTCGTGCGATTGTTCCTATGGAGCCGAACCAAGGAGCTCGCCTGTTGCGGGTGGTTTTGTCGAGTTTTTCGAGTTGTGGATCTTCAAGATGTTGTCTCAGCCGATGTTTTGCTTGTTCAATTTCGGCTTCTATTTCCTGATGACTATTGATTCTTGTGTATGACGAGCAGATGGAAGGCTTGAATTTTGTTGCGCATATTCCAAAAGCTTCCCATATACTTTGATTTGCATATGGGTACAGATTTATCAGCTTCTCGATGTTGATAGAGGTAACTATTTGCCATTCTTCTCGTATCAGATATATTTTCTTGAACGGGTCAGACAGTAGACCTGGGATTGTTTCCATTGGTTTTATCTGGACTTCCTCTGAGTCTCTGGCCAGGTGTACGAGCCCCAGGAGGATGAGTGATACGATGTTCATGTTGGATTGGACTTTTATTATTCCTTTTATTTTATATATATATATACTGAAACAAACAACTAGGTTTCTTTTTAGTTAACTTTTTCGCGGTTGGCTGGGTTAGCCTTATTCGTGTGAAGTAATTTTCGTTTCCCGTTTTCTTTTTCGATAATTAAATTTCCCGTTCCATTTATTTCAGCTATTTTGTACGGTCCGGTATAATAAAGGTCTAATTTATTTTTTCTCGGTTCTTTCAGCGTATACACGAGATCTCCTACCTTAAAATTTGCTGGATGAATATGTTTGTCGAATCGTACTTTTCATTCGTGTTTTGCTCGAGTTAAATTTTCTGCGGACATTCTTTGAATCTCGGATATTCGACTAATTAAATCTGCTAAATAATCGTTATACAATTCGATTTTACTGAAATCCGGGAATTGAGTTGGGCTACGAGCTTTTCTTCCGTACAAAATTTCGTAAGGTGTAAATTTCGTAGCTGTATGAACGGTTGTATTATAATTTAACATTGCCATTGGGATATACCGATCTCAGTTATTAAACTTATCTGCATAGGCCCGGAGGTAATCGACTAAGGGCTGATGAGATCTTTCTAAAGATCCGTTCGATTGAGGGTAATAAGATGAAGTTGTTATTCTTTGAATTTTTAAAGCTCTAGCGAGTTGTTGTATTAGTTTACTGGTAAATGAGGTGTCCTTATCTGATAGAATTACGCGGGGGCACCCGTAAAGAGCGATATAGTGATTTAATAAAGCATCCGCAACGGTGACTGCTCTGATATCGGGGAAAGGAACTGCCGCGGTTGCTTTAGAAAAATTATCTTGTATAGTTAAGATATGTACATTTCCATCGGGAGTCATGGGTAGAGGTCCTACAGTGTCTATACTAATTTTTTCAAACGGTTCAAAGGGTGTATCTGTAATAGACATAGGCTGTTTCGTTTTTATTCGCGTGAGTTTATTTTTCTGGCATATTTCGCAGGCTCGGATGTAATTATAAATTGTATCTTCCATTCCTGGCCAGTAATATCTCTCGCGAATACGCCAATATGTCTTTACTACACCTTTATGGCCTCCTATTAACCTATTATGATTTTCGTCGATTATTTTTGTTCGGAGGGATTCGTCTGGCACCTCGACGTTCCCTTCGCACAAAGTAATCGTTATCGGACAATTTCTTAACTCCTGTAATAAATATGTTTTAATCGAATCGATGACGGTTTTTATTGTACTTGAGTACTGGATATAAATGTCTAAATCGTTATATTCGTCCCCCTGCTTTGCACAGCGATGCGAATGAATGTCATGTTTATGCACCGACTGTCGAAGATTTCTTAATCCTTCGATCAGGTCGATTAGGTCTAATCTTTCAAAATGTCTTATTTTGATAAATACCGTAAAAATTTTGCAACGATCTAACTTGGTGATAAATACATCTCCTTTTGTAGAGTTTGAGGCATGGAGATCATTGGTATTTATAAATTTTAAGTCGCGGAGCAACTTCGCTACAGGTTTTACTATTTGACAATCAGTTGCTAAGAAGTGTACTAAATGATATCGGGCATAAGTATACTTATAAGTCCGTTATAAAACAATTTTGGAACGTACTTGGTGTGCGTCATATTGTGTATATCAATTTTTTTAAAGTCCTAGTAAATAGATTTTACGAATTTAGTTTAAAGTAAAATATTTTGCAACCGCGCACACTAAATACGTTCCAAAATTGTTTTTTTAAATTTTAAATTTACAACAAAATTTTTTTTAATTTCCGAAAATCATATACAATCATATCAGTTACTTGGATTTTTTAATTTTTTTATTTTATATCTTTTTGTAAAGAAAAAAAATAATTTTTTTTTCTTAATAGTATTATGAACGTGGACTTGGCGCAATTTTTTTACAGTGAAACTGTTTTCGTTTGGATTCTATTACAGAGAGAGAGAGAGATGGGACAGCAACGAGGATGAGAGTCTTAGGAGACAATGACGATGCAAGACAGCTCGGACTCAACATAGATTCGGACAGACTAAAACGACTGACTGACTACAAGTGGCCGCTCATCCTGCAGGTTGCAGGTTTGTGCCACCTCGGTCGCGGATGCCATCGGACACCTGTATTACTGCGCTGAACTCATATTATTCCGCGAATGAACTAAGATTATTCCGCCTTCGGGAACTAGGTGGTTATTGTCAAGTTCCTTAGTCAGCAGAAAAAGGTATTAATACGCCGAAAGCGGTTCCCTGTATTAGAGTACCTGTTCGCTCGGTTCCCATGAGAAAGCGTCTCATCAGCACCACGTGCAAGTAGCGACTCTCGGTAACCAGAGTCAGTCTAGAAGGACAACGGAAATTCGGTGTCTAATTCAGGTGGGCAAATGGACCCATCGACTTATAGAAATATATATAATTTATCATAATATTGACAGGAGGGTAGGCCCACCCGTCACAGTCATACACGGTCAAAATAGGTTCAATAGAAATTGAAAGGGACAGTGGATGGCTGAGGAAGAACCCTGTAATTTTTAAGGCCCATAAAAAAATTTTAGGGCATGGAGAAACCTGATTTTTTGGGACTAAATCAATTGTACTTGGGTTTGACCTACTTTTATTGAGTATTCAAGGTCATACAAGGTCAGAATAGGTTAAATAAAAATTAAGAGGGAGGTAGAATGATTCAAGAACATACTCTGTATCTTTGAAGGACCATTAAAAAATCTGAGGGCATAAAGAAACCTGATTTACTGGGCCTCAATCGATAATACGTGGGTTTGACCTACTTGTTTTGAATTTTCCAGATCACACATAGTCAGAATAGGTTTGATAATATATGAGAGTGACGACGAATGACATAGAAGGTACTCTGTAAATATTAAGGACTGCAAAAAAATTTTCGCGCAAAGAGAAACCTGATTTTTTAGGCCTCAATTAATAATATTTAGGTTTGACCTACTTTTATTAATTATCCAAGGTCATAAAAGGTCAAAATAGGCTCACTGAAAATTGAGCGGAACATTGAAAGACTTAGGAGAAGCCCTGTGATTTGTAAGGACCATAAAAAAATTTTCGGTCATAATAAAACCTGATTTTTTTGCTCCTAAATCGATCGTACTTGGGTATACCTACATTTATTGATACGTCAAGGTCTTACAAGGTCAGAATAGGTTCATCAAACATTCAGAGGGACGAAAGATAACTTAGCAAGTACCCTGAAATTTTATAAGACCAAAAAATAACTCAAGGGCATGAAAAAACCTGATTTATTAAGCCTAAATCCATTTTACTTGAGTTCAACATACTTTTTATATTTTACAAGGTCACACAAGGTCAAAATAGGCACAATAAACATTAAGAGGGACGGAGGTTGACTGAGGAGGTACTCTGTAATTCTTAAGGTCCATAAAAAAATTTTAGGGAATAGAAAAACCTGATTTTTGGGGCCTAAATCGATTGTACTTGGGTTTGACCTACTTTCATTGATTATTCAAGGTCACTAAAGGTCAAAATAGGTTCAATTAAAATCAAAAGGGAGAAAGAATAACTCAGAAAATACTCTGTAATTTTGGAGGAGCATTAAAAAATTTGAAGGCACACAGAAACCTGATTTTTTGGGCCTCAATCAATTGTAAATATTATTTACCTACATTTATCAATTTTTAAAGGTCATACAAGGTCGAAATAGCTTCAATAAAAATTGACAGGGACAGTGGATGACTTGGGAGGAGCTATCTAATTTTTAAAGACCATAAAAAAATTTTAGGGCATATCGAAACCGGATTTTTTTGGATTAAATCAATTAGACTTGGGTTTGACCTACTTTTAATAATTTTTCACGGTTATACAAGGTCAAAATAAGTTCAATAATAATCAAAAGAAATAGAGGATGACTCAGGAACAACTGTGTATCTTTAGGGGACCATTAAGAAAATCTTAGGGCATAAAAAACCTGATTTTTTCGGCCTTAATCGATAATACTTGCGTTTGACATACTTGTATTGATTTTTCCAGGTCACACAACGTCTGAATAGGTTCGATAAAAATTGAAAGCGACGGAGGATGACATAGAAGGTAGTCTGTAATTTTTAAGGAACATAGAAAAATTCTAGGGCGTGCAGTAACCTGATTTTTTGGGCCTAAATTAATTGCACTTGAGTTTGACCTACTTTCATTAATTTTTCACGGTGATACAAGGTCAGAATATGTTCAACAAAAATAAAGATGGACGAAGGATAACTCAGGAGGTAGCCCGTAATTTTAGTAGACTATAAAAAAATTTGAGAGCGTTAAGAAACCTGATTTTTTGGGCCTCAATCAATTTTACTTGTCATTTATGTAGTTTTATTGGTTTTTCAAAGTCATACAAGGTCAGAACAAATTATATAAAAATTTAAAGCGACGGAGGACAATATAGGAGGTACTCTGTGATTATTAAGGACCATTAAAAAATTTTAAGGAATAAATTAACGTGATTTTTTGGGCCTTAATCAATTGTACGTGGGTTTGACGTACTTTCATTGATTTTTCAAGGTCATACAAGGTCAAAATAGGTTCAATAAAAAATGAGGAGAAGATAAAATGACTCAGAAGATACTGTGTACCGTTTGAGGACCATAAAAAAATCTGTGGACATGAAAAAACCTGATTTTTTGGGCCTCAATCAATTTTACTTGAGTTTGAAGTTGGTTATTTTTTTCAAGGTCATACAAGATCAGCATAGGGTCAATAAATATTGAGAGGTATGGAGGATCACACAAGAGGTGCCCTGTAATTTTTGAGGGCCATTAACAAATTTTAAGGCATCACAAAACCTAATTTTTTGGGCCTCAATCGATTGTACTTAGTTTTGATCGAATTCCATTAATTTTTCGAGGTCATGCAAGGTCATAGGTTCAATGAAAATCAACAGGGACAGTAGATGACTTAGAAGGAACCCGGTAATTTTGAAGGCCCATAAAAAAATTTAAGAGCATAAAGAAACTTAATTCTTTGAGCGTTAACCTATTGTCCATAGTTTTGACCTACTTTTATTGAATTTTCAATGTCATACAAGGTCAGAATAGGTTTAATAAATATTGAGAAGGTCGGAGGTTGTCTAAGAAGATACTATGTGATTTTGAAGGAGTATAAAAAAATTTAAAGTCATAAAGAAACCAGATTTTTTTGGCCTTAATCTATTGAAATTAGGTTTGACTTACTTTTATTAGTTTTCCGAGGTCATACAATGTCAAAATTGGCTTAATCAAAATTAAGAGGGACATTGGAAGACTGAGGAAATACCCTGTGATTTTTAAGGACCATGAAAATATTTTAGGGCATAATAAAACCTGATTTTTTGGGCCTTAATCGATCGTTCTTGGGTTTGACCTACTATTATTGATATCTCAATGTCTTTCAAGGTCAAAATAGGTTCATCAAAAACTCGGATAGACGGAGGATAACTCAGGAGGTACCCTGTGATTTTATAAGACCAAAAAATAATTAAAGGGCATGAAAAAATCTAATTTATAGGGTCTAAATCAATCTTACGTGAGTTAGACCTGGTTTTTTATAGTTGTCAAGGTCACATAAGGTCAGAATAGGTTTGATAAAAATTGTAAGCAATGCGGAATGACAAAGGAGGTACTCTGTTATTTTAAAGGATCGTAAAAAAATTCGAGGGCGATAAGTAACTCGATTTTTTGGGCCTCAATCAATTGTAAATGTTTTTTACATACTTTAATTTATTTTCAAAGGTCATACAAGGTCGAAATAGCTTCAATAAACATTGAAAAGGACAGTGGATGACTTAGGAGGAACCATGTAATTTTCAAAGACAATAAATAAAACCTGATTTATTGGGCCTAAATCGATCGTACTTGGGTTTGACCTACTTTGATTGATATGTCAATGTCTAACAAGGTCAGAATAGATTCTTTGAGAGCCATAAAAAATTTTAAGGCATCAAGAAACCTGATTTATTGGGCCTCAATCAATTGTACTTGGTTTAGACCTACTTTTATAAATTTTTCAATGTCATACAAGGTCAAGATAGGTTCAATAAAAATTTACATGGACAGATGAGGACTCAGGACAACCGCTGTAATTTTAAAGGTCCATAACAAATTTTAGGGCATAAAGAAACCTGATTATTTGGGCCTAAATCAATTGTCCTTCAGTTTGACCTACTTTTAATGATTATTCACGGTGATACAAGGTCAAAATAGGTTCAATAAAAATTAAGAGGGAGAAAGAATGACTCAGAACATACTCTGTAATTTTAAAGGAGCATAAAAAAATTTTAGGGAACAAAGAAACCTAAATTTTTGGGCCTAAATCAATTGTACTTGGGTTTTACCCACTTTTATTGATTTGTTAATGTCTTATAAGGACAGAATAGGTTCTTCGAAAATTCGGATCGACGGAGAATAACTCAGGAGGTACCCTGTTATTTCATAAAACCAAAAAATAATTAAAGGGCATAAAAAACGTTATTT